ATGACCGCAAGGCACTATTGGGAATTTATGAAATAAAATGGGGTGCTAGACTTAAAAATATTCTTTTTTTTAAAAATATATTTTATTGAGTTTTTCACAGAGAGGAAAGGAGAGAGACAGAGAGCTAGAAACATCGATGAGAGAGAAACATCGACCAGCTGCCTCCCGCACACTCCCCACTGGGGATGTGCCCGCAACCAAGGCACATGCCCTTGACCGGAATCGAACCCGGGACCCCTCAGTCCGCAGGCCGACGCTCCATCCACCGAGCCAAACCGGCTTCGGCAAAAAAAGATATTCTTACATACAAAGAAAACACAGAGTACCAGACTGGATGGTTTAATGATAAAGTTTTCGGTTAGGAAGGATAGTGATGATACCAGCCTGCAGTAGCAATAACATGGCAGAGGAAAAATGGGCAGGAAGCCTCCTGGAAGGGCTTTGGGAGTGAACTAGGACTTGAAGGATGAGAACAGAATGGGGAAGAGAGTGAGAAAAACATCATAGAGTTCATATTAGGATGTAAAGTATCCAACTTGATTGCAGCAGGTTTCAAGTAGCCAGGATGGCCATGGACTGTAGGAGTTCTTACATCAAGCAGAAATGCTTTAATCAACCTTGGCTGCATTAGAAAACCAAACGGGGTGCTTTTAAAGCCACACAGGATGGATTATTTTAGAATCTGAGATGACCTCGGCATAGGATTTTTAAAAGATCCCTGCTGATTTCATTGTATAACCAGTGGTTGAGAACCCTCTCACAAGAGCTTCTGTAAGTTCTGGTGGAAAAGAGCAGTGTTCAAAAGTCATGACCCAGTTATTATTGTACTTCAGGACTGTACACAGCACTTTCCCTTCCTTCCAGTGGACTTGAAACCAAATTTAAACTTTTCTCAAATGACTCTACCTGATCATGTCACACTAACTACATTGACTCTAGATGGCCTTTATACTTGGATATACAATACAATCACAAATCTTGCATGAAATTTGGGGCACCCTATAAAAACACAGGCTTAGTACTCTAGACTACCAGGATCTTAAAGGTTACATGTGACTCCAGATAGATTCTCTGTCCAACAGAACAAAGTATTAAACAATGAATGAGCACACTCATGCATATGTATCTCAGTTTAAAAAAAACTCTCAATCAAGCATTATTCACACAGAGTGGTAACAGGTTAAGTATCTGACCTGTGTTTCTTTGCAAGGTTTGAAGGAGAAGTTCTGCAGAACTCTGACGAGAGCAATTTTCATGTTCATGAGAGCGAACCTCATTCCGATGCAGTTTCTGGGTCCACTTCCAAAGGGTGTGTATATGTAAGGATTTATCCTGTCCTTGTTCTCCTTGCTAAACCTGGTTATAAACCAGTAGATGCAAACAATTAATGAAACATAAACACCACAAGAGCTACATGTTTGCATTT